AGTTACTGGGGTCTGCCACATGAGCAGCAAATGCTGCAATTTTATCACACACTAATGCGCCAATCGTTGCAGTGTGCTCATCCAACCAGTCAGGCCGTTTACAGTTTTCGCGCCTGATGATCTCCTCAGCAATACATGTCACCTGGTCACGAATGTGTTGCCACTGATCGCCTCCTATGCACTCCACAGCACACAGGGTTGCAGCAATGACCTACTCCAGCTCAACGCGTTTCGTCACAATACCGAGGGAGAGAATGTTAATTTTACGTTGGCACACCGCAAATGTGCATTACATAGATTTACGGAAACATATGTAGTATTTGGTCCGAACCAATTTGTGCTCAGTGCCATAGTCAGCTCCACGCAGTACACGTGTCCTGCACAGTTCACGCATATCACGTTGACGTACGATGATATAGCCGAGTACGTGAGCTTGATCACTCCGTGGGTGCGTCCTACTTGCTATATCACTCACATTCAGCGCAAACCGAGTGTTGCTGATCGTCAGGCTGTGGGTGGCACGCAGTGTGAGCAGCCTGTCACCGTTCGCATTCGCTGAACCAATGTCATGCGGACCAATAACATCTGCCCACAGCGATACATCATGTCCAACGCGCGTGTTGAAATGACTCGGCAGAAATAGTCGGTCGCTCTTAGGAACGGACTGTATCACGGAGGATAGCTGCGTGTAGAATTGATCAGGCGTGACGAAAGATAACACTGAGTACGTGCTTAGAAAGTGGTAAATGTACCTGTTCTGATTCGTACGCCAGCGGTCATCAGTCGCGCACTGATGCCTATTGGTTTACCTACTAGCTGTCCATTGAGACGATCGGATATTGCAACTCCGACCCCGTGATCACATGATGCTGAGGCGGCGTTGCCCACCCAGTGGAACATATGGCCTGCTCCAGCTTCATGCATGTGACCTTGCTCAGCAATCTGAGTCTCACTGAGCGACTCAATCTGGATGCTCTAGTGCGCCAGTTCCATCGCGATCAGTGTAGTGCGTCGCTCGGGGCGGTCACTCGGGTTCCGGTCCAGTCGTGTGCGCACGTTCCAACACCCGATGCCGAGTGCTTTGCGCGCAGGCATACGATTGCATTGGTGGGCACTCGCACGCGAGGTGGTGCTTGTGCTTCGGGGATTTGCAAGACGGACTCCACCCGGAGCCGTTTGCTGAATAGCCTGACCCACTAGGCAGTGAGGATCAGTTCCACCTCGGAAATGTGATTGTAGAGACAGATTGATATCTTCTTTAGGTCGGTCAAACACAATCTTTGAAGTTCTGGAACAATTCCTATGTGTTTTGCGACTGTAGTAAGGTATAAACCTGTGACCACGGCCAGAGGCAAGAGAGTTTTGACGGGTTTGCACTAATTTGATCAGGGGCTGCATTCCTTGAGCGGACAGTAGCACACCATTAAACACCCGGCGGTTCTTTCCCAGCTTCCGAGACAATGCGTGGCGCTCGTGCTCTACGCCAATCGAGCGGTGAGCTTATAACCCGTGGACCTGTTGTCTCCCATAGTTGACATTTACGGGAAGAAGGCCATCGACTACTTCCTAACCTCCGAAACGGATGAACTGGGATACTGGCAGCGCGCACACACCTGCCAGCAGAACTACTCTGGTCATCAGCCAAAACCTTCGATTAAATTTACACCCGAATGGCAGAGGGTCTAGCAGGTGGTCAGTTCACTGCCTCATGCTGTTTGGTGTCTTGGCTCTTAGCAAGCAGAAGGGCCTAATCAAACTACCATCCAGCTATTGTCAAAAGGAAGCGTCCAAGACATGAGCTCATGATACAACAGTAACAGCAGTGGGTAGACCACCGGTCAGGATCTAACCACCGTAAGCCTCAACGCATCATAGGCTGTCCCGCCGGTTTGGCCACGTACACACACTTGTGTGGGTAAGCACAAATCGTGCATGTGCCTCCACCTCACCGTAGGGGTTGATGCACTATGTCACTGCAGTTTCGTTGTGCAGTGCTGGAATTCCCGTTGGATTGCGACAAGCAATCTCAATCGATGAGACGGTCTGATTTGAGGCAGACGTTTGTTTTTTCGATTGCTTGGAATGCATTGAAGTGGACTGTTTTTGAGCCCTTCTCTTCTAACACTGCATCTGTCATCTCAGATTTAATTACACCGTGTCCTGTTTTATTGTGTACTTGTTGTAATTTGGATTAACTAGCCGGTAGAAAATATGCATGATACATGTAAGAAAATGACAGTATAAGGAAGTTTCGAGGACTTCATAAATTTGCTTGTTACGTTGAATGTTTTACGCTAAAAAAGACAATGAAGGAAGCAATGAGTTGCATGCATTGTAATAGGTGTTTTGTAGTTCTTCACCAAATTAAATGATAGCTTGCACAGGTGCAAAATGTACTGGACTAATTTTTTGAAAAAAATCGTGAGTTACTACTGAACACCCCACAACACAAAAGCCATTCCACAGTCGCGAACCATTGCGATTAAACTACAGACAGCTACTAGAACACCAATCAATGACAAAAGAAAGGCTTGAAGTCTACGAGCCATACCTGATGTCTGCACAGGGTTTAGACTTTGTGGCTCACTTTGGGCGCATCTCCATCACCCGCTTCGTTTTCACATGGATTTTCGTCAGTCATACTATGTGCCACAATTTCATCATCGTGTTTTATTTTTGCACTGCCAAGTCAGCCCATGTTGACGTTGTCAGGGACGTTCACACCCTCTGGCACATCCAGCTTTATATATGAACATCACTAATTCTCGTCTGTTTCTGCGCCACCTAGCACTTCACCCTCCGTGATGTCGTCTGCAACACAACCCCCCAGTTTTTCTAAAGCAACGTGATTATTTCTTATTTCTGTGCTCTCCATGCAACACTGAGTATCTAAATTGCTACCACAAGATGAGCATTCGTTTCACTCCCCGCTTTACTGTTACACAGTATAGACAGGACTAAATAAGCTAGGTAATGGCGCTTCAGTGCGTGAATTTCTTGCGGATCGAGTAACTACGGAAACGAGGGGGTACTTAGAGGAAATAATTAATTTTTCAAATATTCCGAATGGGTGGGCACATAATCATGTGAGGGGCAATTGTCAATCCCAGGAAGAATTCTTCTACTTTCGATCGTAATTCGATGTTCCAAGTACAGCAACAGCTCTTCGAATATCTCAGATATCACCTACGCCGTGGCATTATATCTCTATTCACAGGGCAGGTGTGGCACACCCTTACAGTAACAAGGTTTCCCAAATACCCAATTAGGATAGACTTTACTGTGCTCTTTTTCACGTGGTCTATGCACAAAATGTAGTTATCTGTGCTTAGGTACTTTGTCCCACAACACACTTATTTCTCCTGACTTTAAGGGTTTTGTTAGGCAGTAATTCGCAGAATAACGCAGTCCAATATGTTAAATGAACTCGGTAGACAGAGCGTGTATCTCTACAGCACAGGTTAACTCCATTTATTGGTAACCGAAACGTGCTAATTTAGGAGGTCAAGGTCGTTCATTATTCCGCGTCTGGTTTTCAGCCAGTGACTGAGTTCCACTCCAAGGGTTAATCATATTAACAGCTAGTTTGATTCCTTTGACGCGGGCTGGTAATTGTTGACCGATCAATTTTCACTAGATTCCCAAATTCAGCTCCGCTTGAGACTCTATTATAACATAAGAAGGACGACGCATGCTGACACGGTAGTAGGCAATTTAGAGGGAAGTTTTTCACACGTACTTCAACAAACCACTTTTGTAGCAAAGGCCAAATCCTACCTGCAAACCATCCCAATTAGTTGTTCGCAAACCCTTCTAAAATTACTTCTAAACGGATCCGTCTATCCCCACATTGTCTACTGTCCAGAGTTTCTTTCACTGTGGACCGAAAACACCAGCATCAGTATTCCATTTTTAAGTTGCTGTTTCAGAACAGCGGCGAAATTTGAACGGCGTATGCCACCTTTCTACGTCATCTGTCCTTTCCTTCCTGCTTTCCTTACTTCCAGAAACGCCCCGCATTTTATAAAAGCAAATTCCTGTCGCTTCTTTCTAACCACAGTGGTGTTCTATTAAACAGGCACACTATTTGCCACTGATATACACGTTGCTTTATAAATGAATGACAAGCGAACGCGCAGCGCTAAACCAAACTCATGCGACTTCGTCACTATCAACTGCAGGAATTCGTGTAGATATCTAGCTCTCCACTGCTGAGCGAATTTGTAACTTGTTGTTGTAAGATGTTGCTGTTTTGCTGTTAGCGTGGTCGTTGTTTTTAAGAAAATTCTAATGGTCCTACGCTACTATCCGTACGTAACCTAGGATCATCATCAGATTCATTCCAGCAACCATCACGGATTAAGAGAAGTGTTGGAAGGCCACTTATTCTTCTTCTTGGAACATTTCAGAAGGGCAATTTTCACATGACATGTGGGCAGAAAGAATTCCTTAGCTTACTTTTAGGAACCAGCGACTGAAACCAAGGATTCATCTAGGTTCGCCTCGACTGACTTGATCACGGGCAGTTGCGGGTTATAGTCCCAATTAAAGTATCAAGAATGCCGACTTCAGACACGCCCCGAAGGAATTGAACGGCATCGTGGAGTTTACTGGATGTGTAACGGCCGTCTAACAGTCTAATTGTGTTGAATTCAACACATAGCACAAGTGCGTTCCACTACTCGCATGTGATCAGTACTCTGCCTAGGCTGCTATGAATATCGCAGGTGAACGAGTGTCTTAATTTTAAGACGCTGTTACGCGGAAGCCTGCATGCTGGGAACATACAAATTTTTATTTAATCGTGTCAGTCTTTGTTGTGACAGCTGGTCCAGTGGTGTCCACTACAGACTCGTGCGATCAATGGTGTGGGTTCTCATCGCACACTGACTAGCTAGAATGTGACGGTTGGCCAGCCCTGGCAAGTACTGCTATGACCAGTCGGACACAATCTTTATCGAATGCAATAAAAAGATGGATGAGAAGTTAATTACTGTGTATTATGCGAGGCCGAGTGGGGAATGTTTCAGCAAATGGGCGCGAGTTCTTCCAGCAAGCGCGAATACAAAGGTCCAGTGATCTTCTCCGAACTCTCTTTTCTCACCATCCGTACGCAGATTTGTCCCCGTTATTATTAGACTTGGCTGCTCATAGCTTGACTGAGGACAGCTGTTGCAACAAAATTAAAATACTGTAAGATACTGTAATAACATCTTGCAGAGAGAAGATGGCAATGTTTAGCAAGGTCATGGGAGGTAGCCAGCCAGCCGCCGGAAGAATTAATACAATGTGTGACAAGGTCCCCTTGTAACAAGTTGGCACTTTCTTGTTTTAGTTTCTACTCTTTTACCTCCATCCTAATGAACGCAATTCACCCGTTTACATACAGGCCATTGGATGCACGGTCGTTTACACTTATCGACCTGAACAGCCTTATTCTCCAGCGTTGCTCCTAGGCTGACCAGTGTCATCGTTCAGTTGCTGCTTGTATTGCAACATGCCTCCTAGCTGATTGGTCGCAAATTTACGAGTACACTTTCGAAACTCTGTTCCTTATCATAAGTTACTGTGGCGACCAGTAGGGAAATAGTTGGCTTCAGCCACGGTCACCTGTACTGCTTGCACTGGGGCCCACGTTAAAAGTCTTGGTACTCGTCCTTAACACACTTTTCTACTGGGGTAAAATGCCTTTTCATCTTAAATATCGATACTTATGTGTCAGTAGTAAATGATACAAGCATGAAGGTATCTTCATTCATGTAGGCGCAAAGGAAGTATTGGCGCGTTTATAAAGCAACGTCGTATGAATTGACATGTGAGCACCTAAGAATGCTTGTTCGACCCGAATTACGTTCCATACGGATCCACTGACTGAAGTGGGCGCCCCATCAGTGGTGTTGGTCCGATGGCGAAAGGAAGCCACATCAACCGGTCATTATTTTCAGTCAACGTTACATGGTGCACAGAAAACGCGGCGGTCACTGAACTAGTGCTCTTGTCATAGTATCCGACTAATTATTTTAGGCAAACTTTACAGTCCGTATTGATAACGCAACATCGAGTTTCAGCAATTCGACTACTGAATAGAACCGCTAGATTTCGTGGAATGCTTAGATACGTTTCCATCCTACGTTTACCATTTGCTTTCGTCTGCAGTGTAACCAAGTTCCTTTGTGTTTACCGAACGAGGTGAGCCAGCATGTTCACTACTGTCCCAACGTTATTAATGTGCAATAGTTCCGATTATTAACGATGCGGTACCCACAAAAGGTGAAAACAACGATTATGTTATTCTGTCACAGGCACGTAGCTTAAAGTACTCCCATTCCATACCGACTTCACTGCCTGGACAAAAGTTATCACAGCTGTTCACGGATGCTGATAACAAAATTGATCACTTCACTTCTGCTCCGTTAGTTGCGCTGTTCAGCCCTGGGCAACATAGCGGATATACATTCGTCGCAACGCTGTGGCAACTGTTTCACAAGGCCACCAAAAGCGAGGCTGTGACCGGGTGCACAAATGCCCATGGTAAGGGTAGTGAACCCATTAATTCGATTGGTGCGTTTGCGTATGGCAAACACTGATTCGGTTGGTTAAAAGACGGAAAACGGGTGTACAGTTATGTACTCTGGGATTCTGTCTGAATGGAACAAGTGACCAAGTCAACTTTTCATCCGTGCAACACTTTCTGCAGCCTCTGGTAGTGAAGCGCACTGTGATGATTGACATTCGATGAGGTACACTGGCACATTGAAACCCAAGATCAGCTGCCGTGAATGTCATCAATCTTCCCAGACCTCTTTCGCGCCTTTCTGACAAGGTGACACCGAAATGACTTCGGTGAAGCACCCTGTTAGGGGTCGAAAGGCCACACGCACTGTCACCGCACCGAGTCTTATGAGTCCCTCAGAAAGGGAACGTCTCTTGTCCGCTGAGGTACCATCGGCTCGCTTCTGCGGCCCAGATCTACAGTTTGAGCATTGTCAATCGTTAGACGAACTCAATGGGCGTCAGTCCACCTTTAGTCCACAGGCATTACACCCTCCCACAAGAACAGAAGTTGAATCCAGATATTCTGTGAGTCAGCAGTTAAAAGATATTATGGAGACAATTATACCTACGGACAATTCGAACATGCTAATGGAGCGTCACCGCAGAGAAGTGACAAGATGCTGGAGTCGTGAACGAGTGGTTCGCAACGAAGTTATCTTGTCAATCCGGTGTCCAAATGATTCCGGTCTTGATTATGCATATAGCCGAAGTAATATTTATTCAGGCACATCGGCGCTGTACAAATCAGCTACCTGCATAAATACCAATTCGGACAGTTGGTTTGACCAGCTCGGACAGTCGACAAGATCCGTGTCCACCAGAAGTTTATGCCCCACTATTGCGCTTATCGGTAGGCCGGTACCAGTATATGTGAATGGCAAAAGTGAGTCGAATGCAACTTCCGATAAGGGGACCGTTGCTTTTACATGTTTGGAGCAGCCGTACAAACAGGACAATCAGTTGTTGCTAGCATCATCACGTTTGACTCAAAGCCTTGAAGGAAAAGAAGAGTTATCAGGGTGAGCGATCTTTTTCAAACTGATCAATGAGTGCATTATATAAAACGTAATGGTATCTTTATGCAAATCCTTGTCATTCATACGCTAGATATTTCAGTTACCAGTCTAAACGGTTGAGATAGCAAATAAAAGGTGATGCAACTGGGGCTATTGCTAGTGAGGCTCGTTGGGGACTTGCTTTGTAGGTAGGATATTGATATTAACTTCTATTATCTTCGCTGCAGGATGACTGGCATTTGGTGTATATCCTACCGTCCTACTTGATCACTTGGCCCAAACATGAATCAAAATGACGCATTTCATTTCGTATACTATTCACTGATGTGGCTGTCCACTGGACTCCTAAAATCATTATGCTTCATCTACCTCCTATCAACAAAACCGGGTTGGAGTAACAAAGATTGGTCGGACACCCGTTTTAACGGACTGTGCGGGCAAGAAAACACCCAATTGTCCGCTAAATGCGAGTGACGTTGTGCACACCGCACTTCCACAGCCTTGTCAGATGATAATTCAGCCGGTATGTTGTTCCAAATTTCAAAAGCCGGAACTATGACCTAACGTAATAGATTATTGGTTTGCTTCCAAGGAGCATCTAGCTATCTGTTTTCAGGGAGCCGAATTAACATTACGTGTCCACAGCCTGTAGTTCCTTTTCTGTCTAGCTCTCTTTTGAAAGCTCTAGGCATATCATCCAAATTGAGTCGCATTTAAAACAAACTATTGATATCGTCAGATTGTCGATGTAAGAAGTTATCATCCTACAGTTTACTTGCGAAGTTCTGTTGCTAATTAAAATCTGTTGTGTGGCGCTTATCAGTTCGTTGGTTCTTCAGAAAGGTCACTGATAAAACACTGCTTGGTGAATGTGAGATTCATGATTCAAATGGCAGCTTCGGGTACTCTGTTTGATGTGGCAGGCCGTGTTAGACAGCACTGACAGCCAGCAACACCCAATGGCCGCTGTTTCGGATACAGCACCACTAACTAAATGGCAAGGGTTAATAGGGAGTTAGTCAAGGTTCCGTTAACGGGTAGTTCCTAATCCAAGCACACTCCACATTTTTTCCATTGCGACCTGCTAAGGTATATAAGCTACATGCCTTTAAGGTTTCAGCGCTTTTCGTTTGCCTGAGCTGTTTAGCTGAGAGAACACAAGACGCGGAATACCTTTTGAGTGCAACCTTGAGGGTCTATACAGTCAAGGTGCCCTGAGAAGTCCGATACGAAGGGCAATAATCAGTTGATAATGAAGTTCATGTGCATTGGTAGACAAAATTCACTTTCTCAGTTTAAACTGTTGGGAACTGTGAATAAAGGGGCGACGGGGGAATTATGGTAGTTTGAATCGTGTTACCTCAGCCAAACAACACGTTCGCTTACACTAGGGGTGTCCAAACTTTTCTCAATGAGGGCCATATTTTGTGAGCTAAAAAACTTATCGAGCCATATTTTAATTTGACATCATCATCATCATACACGTTAGCTAGAGGTGGGGAACATCTCAGCTACTGTGCCGCTACACACAGAAAAAAGGAGAGAAAAAAAGAATTCAACTGGGGCAAGCTGGCTGAGCTACCGGTAACGGATGGGCATCGTTCGGGTAATCTACCAGCCGGCTACTGTGCATCAAAAAAATTGCTATGCAAAATTATATAAGGTTAACTAGTGAGATCCTGGTTGGAGGGGAAGGCTAAAAGGGATGGGATGGGACAAAGAAACTCACAGCACGAACGCCACTGAGGTCGGCTCCTAGCCATGTCAGCAAGTGTGTCCAATTAATTTGACATCAGCTGATAACCAAAAATGACAAATGCTGTAAATATATTATTGCACATTTTATATGAAGGGTGAAACTTGGATCTTGACTACAGTAAACTGGTCAGATTAGGCCCAATAAAACTGGTTTTGATATGCAAGCTATCACGTAGGTAAGAATCACTTATAGCCATCCTCACACAGTTCTTGTTAAAATTCGAAACTGAATATGTCCGCTCGCACATGTCAAGCTAAAGAAGCTGAGTATTTTCTTAACGGATGTTTGAATATCTTGGAATCTGTCTTTATCCAGCTGGCGATAAAAACCGATGAGAGCTGTTGGTGCTGATCGTAACATTCAAGCTCACTTGGCAACTCAATGAGCTCTAGTTTCAGGTGGTCTGTCGCATGGCCAAAGTCTACAGAGAAAGGCAAAGAGAAAAGCCCGGTCTCCTTTTCATTGGCTACAAACTCCCGAAAGCGCCTTTGAAACTCGTCAGCCAGGGACTTACTTCTGCATTTGTGCATTGGTGTCGCTTTCTTGAAGAATTCTCATGATTTCCTATAGTTATGGAAAATGGCTGGTATTGGACTGCGGTTGAGATAGTTGTCGTTGAAAAGGTGGCTGCTTATTTCTACAGAACTTGGTGTACAAATGCAATTAGTATATCACTGCATTCTGACAGTGAAGGCTCGTGTTCAGCATGTTCAAGTAAATAAATAAGTGCTGTGGAATATCGATCAAAATCCAAAATTACCCAGCTGAGCAGGATCAGATAATTTGGCAACCATTGTCCCTTATCTTATATGCATTGTTCAATTTCTTTTCTAAGAGAGTCGAAGCAATGAAGTGCTGTTCCTCGAATGAGCCATTTAACATCATTGTGATACAAAGCATCCCCATATTCATCGTGGATGTTAAGTAGAAAGTGCTGAAACTGCAGAAGAAACAGGATTTTAGGTTGAAGATACTCCATAGCTTTTATCAGTGGCTTTATAACATAAGCACACCTAATATGTTTGACGCAAACAACCTGTTAATGAATGATGCAGTGCGATTTAATAGTTTTACGCTTTTCTGCGCTGCCTTTATTAAAGACATGTCATTGATTCATTGGCATTAGGGTGACTTTTCCTAGCTGGTTGAAAATAAGCAATACCACATCCTTGATTTTTGCCAGTATCCGACGCCAATGAACTGTGTACTCATAATGTCCTTAACTTTTGTAACGTATATAATGTCGTCCGTACTGAAGAAGTCCAAGCTTGAATCTTTTGTTTTAAAATGAGACCGCTGTCTATTTTAAATGTTAATCCTGGCCGCATTTGGCCAGCGGGCCGAACTTTGGGTATCCCTGTCCTACATAGTCCGCGTTGTGTCACTGCGTTGTCCCATACACTGCTTAGCACCCAGACTATGGTCCAGAACAAAAAATCCGTTTTTCCTGCAGCGGAAAGTTTTGTACTCAAATTTTCAAGGCATTTGCATGAAATGAACTTGACATCTAACCCTCACCAAATTGAGCTTCAAACATCTGACCTTAAGGCAATTTTTAACAAACAGTTCATTCATTTTTTAACCACGCGATAGGTAAATTTAATTAACCTCTTTATACCCAAAGTACTCAACAGTTGGGAAATTTGCTTTCTATAAACTCGAAGATGGCTATGCCTATTGCAGTATGTTACGACCCTCAGCGAAATATGGATAGCCTTGCTGAATAATGCCACACAATTTAGACGTAACCGGTAAGACGACATAATTGCGATCACACGGCTTTAGCATTCATCCAACGTTTTAGACGATTTAGAATACACGTGCCCAGACATTAGTTACCTTGATGCGGAAAATTAAGCGGATCCAGAAGTCTCCCAACAATGAATGAAATGGTGCGGTTGTGGTGTTACTTGAGGCAGTTGGAATTTCTTCATTCATTTCGACGTACATATAGCCTCTTCTACTTTTCGTCCTATGGACACTTTTGTAATAACATCACAGATAATGAAGGGTGGAGGACTTAGTTATCTACATGTGGAATTCGTATGATCAGTATACACTGAAGGATGGAGGCCGAGTAGAGGAATATCCTCAAATGTACCTTCTCCATCGGACTTTGTTCTAGCTCTATACTGAGATATTCTGGTTACCCGCTTAGGTAACCTCTGTAGAGATATACCTCCCTACTTTGGAACTCTATCTGTTATATCTACATTATTGGTCACCATTCATTCGTCGAAACTATATGTTCCATCGCTCTGTGTAAGAATACCTTGTTCACAGTCCCTCTTACGTGACTTGGGTGACGTGCTTTTTAATCATCTAGTATAGTACTAGTGCACATATATGGTAGCATATATATATATATATATATATATATATATATATATATGCTCAAGTTGTGGATTGTCAAGGTGTTTTTTTTGCTTCATTTCGGACTACACTTTTTGACCCTGCATCGTTGCCTTCATTGGGGATTTTGACATTACGCTCCATGATTTACGTCACCAAGATCTGTACTCAGTGACCGGCTCCTACCAGTGTGATGCTTAGGACATCGGACATTGAAGCGGAACAAATGTATTCTACCAGCAGTCTTAGATAATGTAAATGCTTGCAGATTGGTTCACCCGTTTGACCTGAAGCTGGAGCACGTGTCTCAATAGTGATATATTGTCCACTTGGGCTAATAGACATGTGCCCGCCATATCCAACTTGATTACCATCCACGCTGCCTTAGAAGGAAGCTGCCACACCAATAAGTATAACGAAACATGGGAAAACTGATATCAGGAAACCGAGGACAACGAGGAACGGATAGAACTCCAAATTGGACCCAGTGAGTCTGTAGTCAATCAGCACATGGCCCAGCCATGCAGCCAAAGCCCCATTCTTTCACACATCCCGCTGATGATCTGAGTGGCTCATACTGACTGGGCTGCATCTTTTCCGCGTGCCCAATTGTACAATCTCGCTGTCACAGTCATTCCGCCGGGATTTGTAACAAGGCATCTCAGTTTGACAACTGGGAGTGACTCAGGCTGTGGATAACTTAGGTCGGATATCTTCATGTGATTAATCGTTCATCTTAGTTGACGCTATTTGCGATCATTCACGTTTACATCCTTGTCTAACCGTTGCATTGTTTTGGTGCATGTCGTGTGTTGCACCCGTTTATGGCATGTCCACTTCTCATTGATGTCACGGATAGACCAGCGAGTACTCATTTCGGCTATGTCGAGTAGGTG